TGTGTGTGTGTGTGTGTGTGTGTGTGAATATTGTCTTTGTTTTTGCCTTGTGCAATCATTGAATTTTCAGAAAATTTGGAACATAATTTCTAACTGTCTTTTAATGTTTTCGATTTAAAAGGTAAATAAGATTTGTGGGCATCCTGTCAGACCACCAACACAAAGCCCCCGTTGTTCTTTCGATTGGAACAAAGAAAAGCATGGAATGAAGACTTCTCTGAGAAATGGGGAAGAGACACTTGCCAACAGAAGAAAGTAAGACATTTGTTTTACAACCAGAGAGAAAAAAAAGAAAGTAAGCCATTAATTTTACAACAGAATAGAATGTGTTCGGTAAAGTGGAGTGAAATACACTATCAAAGAAAAGAAAAAGCGACAGTGTTCATAGATTCAAAAGTCAGTGTTTCCTCCTGTTCTATTAAGTAAGAACCTAAGTTCAACTTATGAGACCAATAAATATTTCTGTGATAATTGAAGTTTTCCATAAGACAACTTAGGACATTAGACTATCGGACACTGGGCATACAGCTTGTGCGACTGAGGAAGAGTTTTAATTTTATTCAAATTCTTTATGTTGCTGTGATTGATGAACTGCACAGTGCCAGCTACAAAGAGAACACATGTGAATGGTGTAGACATTCTCATGTGTATTAGCAAAAAAATTAGATTAAAAAAGTTTCTGTTTTACTCAGGATGCTGAAAATAGAAGTTTGTCCAAGTCAGTCACTATTGAATAGTTTGCTGTTTCTAATTTACATTTCTGCCACTATACTCTTCATTAATTCACATGTTAAATTAGAGCTGTCTTTAGTGTACTGTTGCTTGACAATTGAGGCTACATTGTGTTTGGAAAATAAAGGGTTAGCTAAGGAGAGGAAGCCCCTCAATGAAATGGATTGACACAGTGCCTGCAAAGTGATTAAGTTAGTATGGTGCAGAATTAGGCAGGATTTTGATCAGTTGACCCAGGGTTGCTGTGGATTGGAATCGGCTCAGTCATCCAGGAAAAAACAAGACAAAACTGGACTACACCTAAAACTGGAGGACAAGGAAGAGTTCTGAAAATCTGTGGAAGATTTCATATTGCTGTTCATGAAGTTCCTTGTGAGCAGTGACTTTATGGATTCACTGAATATTCTAAGTTGTTACCAAAAAAGTACACAATAAATAAAAATCCACCTAAACTCCCATCAGCAAACAAATGGAAGTGTTCATTTTTATCCCTTCTTTTCTTGGTTTCTCCCAACCCCATGTCAGTCCTGTTTTATAATAGTGGCATTATGCAGTATTTTTCCTTTTGTGACTGAGATACTTCACTCAGCATAATGTCCTCCAGGGTCATTCATTTTGAATAACATTGCATGAGTTCCTTGTTTTTCAATGCAGCATAGTATTCCATTGCTAAGAAAACGAACAGGTTCAACCTGGATAGGCTTAAACCAGGCTGCTCCTTGGAGGCAAGGATTCTGAAGCTTCGTCTGACATAATTTGGACATGTTGCAAGGAGGGACCAGTCCTTCTCCAAGGACATCGTGCTTGGGAGCATGGAGGGATAGCGCAGGAGCGGAAGACCCTCTATGTGGTGAATTGATTCAGTGATGGTTAATTGTGGTAGGTGTGTCAGAGACAGTGAGATTGGCACAGGATAGAGCTTGATTTGCGGCTGTTGTACATAGGGTTGCTATGAGTCACAGATGACTCAACGGCACATAACAACAACAGTGATTTAGTGCACAAGGAGCTCTTCCTGAGTAAGCCTCAGCCTCTGAAAAGTTGCTCAAGGGTGACGTACGTGTGGATGTTGACTCCATGGTAATGAGTGAGAGTAAAAAAGTGTGAGGGTTCTGTCTCCTGTTCACTGACTTTACAGGATCCAACTTCTATTTCTTGAGAAGAGGTACTGTTTTTACACTCACTTGAGCATCATATTTTCAGGGCTGCTCGTGTACTATAATAAAATGGTAGCCCTCTTCTGGATATTGCCATATAATGTGCAGACTTGGATTTTACTTGTTTGTTATCAGCTGATACTTGTTGAACTTGAAGCGGATGGAGGAAGATCAAAGACGAAGCCTTCAGTATGGACTTAGACCTCAATATCAACAAAAGAAAAATTCACAACTGGAGCAACAGACACAAGCATGGCAGAGAGAATATGGCAGCTGAGCATACTTTCCTTTTACTCGAATCCACCATCAGCACCGTTGGAAGCTGCAGTCAAGAAATCACATACTATCTGGCGTGAAGCAAACCAGCTGCCAAGGATCTCTTTAAAATGCTAAAGGCTAATGTTAGACTTAGGCGTGTTTGATCTAAGTCATGGCATCTTCAGTTATTTCATATGCATTTGAAGTTTGCACAATGGATAACGAAGACTGAAGAAGTATTGATGCTTTTGAATCCTGGCGTTGGCAAAGAGTGTTAACTAGCAGCATTGACTGTCAAAAGAACAGACAAACCTGTCTTAGAGGAAGTGCAGAAAGAGGGCTAGCTACTTAGAGGCAGAAATGATGCGACTTCATCTCATAGTCTTTGGGAATATTGTCAGGAGTGATCAGTCTCCGAAGAGAGGAAGGACATTGTGCTTGGAAAAGTAGGGGGTGTGGTGTCATTGAAATAGAAGAAGATCCTCAAAAGAGATTCATCTGTATTGTTGTGTGACATCAAATTGGAACCAACCCAGGGCTGACCCTCCAGCGGGTTTTCACAGGCAGTTAATCTCACTGGAGGAGATTGCCATTCTTCTCCCACAGAGCAGATGGTGGAGTCAAACCACATGCCTTCAGGACTGCAACTCAAAGCACCCGAACACAACAGAGATTGTAAGAATGACACAGAATCTGGCAGTTTTGTTCTGCTCAACATAGGGTTGCTATGATTTGGGGTTGACACAGCAGCAAAAGCAAATAAGGGCAATTAACTGCCTTTGACTTGTGGAGTTGGAGAGGAGTACTGCACATGCCAGAAACTTCCAAAAGAATGAACCAGCCTGTCTTAGAGTAAGTGCAACCAAGGTGCTTCACAGAGGCAAGGGTGGTGAACATTTTCTTATGTACTTTGGGCATGTTGTGTGGAGGGACCACTCTGGGAAAGGTGAAGGCTCACATTTCTGTTTAACTTCTTCCACCCTCCATATCCAGCTACCTGCAGTCTTTCTCTTAAGCAGGTTGTTTTTGTTGTTGTAGTTGTTGTTGTTGTGTACCACTGACTCAGAACTGACCCATAGCTGACCCTCCAGCAGGTTTTGAGAGGCAGTTAATTATATGGGAGGAGATTGTTCATCCTCCTCCAGTGGATTTGAACAGTGTGCCTTTGGGGATGACAGAGTGAATCCCTACTGCTAGGTCACCAGGGATCCCTCTCTTAAGAATACCCAGCAATTCCACTACTGGGAATATACCCCCAAAGAAACGATAACTGCCACCCAAGCAAATATATGCACACCCACGTTTATCGTGGCTTTGCTCACAATAGGAAAGTGTTGGAAACAACCTAAGGGCCTATCAACAAACGAATGGATAGAGAAGCTGTGGTATATTCACACAGTGGAATACTATGCTGCATTGAAAAATAAGAAACTCATGCAATATTATGCAAAATGGATAACCCTGAAGGACATTATTCTGAGTTAAATATTTCAGTCACAAAAGGACAAATACTGCACAGTGCCACTGTTGTAAAATGGGACTGACATCGAAGTTGGGGGGAGACTGGTTCTTCACTCAAACAAATGAGGGAGAGGACTGTTTAAAAAGACTATAGGATTAGGTATTATTGTCGTGACAGGAGTAAAGAATGAAGGCTGCATAGTGGAGTGGACATGGAGGAGGAATTGTATAACAATGAAAGAGTTGTTCTTTTACTTTTCAAAGAGAAGAGCGAACTGAATTTTTCTTCTGTCCTGTGTGGTCATTGTTCAACTCTTTGATGCATAAGAGATAATTACAAAGACTGTGGCCTAGATGTTTACCTCTAGACTGACATCCTTGCTTTTTAGCACTCAGAAGAGATGGGTCCCTGACAGCAGATTTTTCTAATGCAATTCATCTTTTTTATTTAATTTTTTTGTTTTATATTCGTTTGCTTACAAAGTTCATATATATTGTTTCCCACTAGTCTTCATTCACATTGTATTTTATAATTTCAGTCCCATGTATTATGGTTTTTAAATTTTATATATATATGTATGTATATACACATATATACATTTACATATATACACATAATACACACACACACACACACACACACGTATATGGACAATGTTTGGTGGAGCTCCCTGATTAAAACAAGCTTGAAAGCAGGAATGGCATTTGCTTCTGACATAGCTTGCCTCCAGAAATCCTGTGAACTTGGAGAAATGATGAAAGTTATATGTGTTCAGGTCTTTCGTTCATAGGGTCGCTATGAGTCATCTATGACCCGATGGCACTTAACAACAACAACAACAGTTTATTTACAGAGTTTGAATACATTGTTTTTCAGACCAGATTCTTTCAATTTCCCTCACCCTCCCATCAAATGGTACAACCTATGCTTAATACCTCTCCCCACACACAGCCTCCTCCCTCAGCTTCCACCCTTCCCACCCCCGCCCCCTTGGATCCTCGTAATCATTCTGCTATAATGGTTTTATATATTTGTCCTTGAGGAACGGAGTTAGTTCACTCAGCACAGTACTCTCCAGTCCCACCCAAGTTAGGTGATAGTTTACAAAATCTTTGCCCCTGTGTGCTGTGTAGTATTCCATTGTGTGAATGCACCATAATTTCCCAGTGACAGTGTTACGCTCACTCTGACAAACTGACTGCTGTCAAGTTGGTTCTGACTTAAAGCAACCCTCCATCAGTTTTCGGAGGCGGCACACCGTAAGGGAGGAGATGGTCCATCTTTCTCCAGATGAACCAGTGGGGCCTTAGAACTGCTGGACACATGTAGCCTTTTGCTTAGAAGTTTAGCTTGCCTTAATTTTATCGTCAGAGTAAGATTTTCTTTCTGGTTTGAAAGCCCATGGCATTTTTAATTGCTTTGTATTCATCTGAAAGTTGGATAAAGAACAAAGAAGACTGAAGAAGAATTGCTACTTTTAAATTGTGGTGATGGAGAAGATGACTGGATAGACTATGGATTTCCAAAAGAATGAGCACATCTGCCTTGCGGGGAGTACAACCAGATTGCTCCTCAAAGTGGTGAAACTTCACTTCACATGCTCGCTTGGGAATATTGCCAGAAAGGGCTAGTCCTTGGCCAAAGAC